GAGGGTAAGTCAGCGGAGAGCTTTTAAACCATCCCTGCTCTCTCCTCCCTGCCTGGGCTGCCTCGTCACCACAGCAATCCTGGGCAAGAGTCCCATCAGCTTGGTGGTGGCAGAGAGAGTGAGGGGAGCTAATCTGAAGGCAGTGCCAGAAGAAAAAACAAACGCATATACAGTCAGTTCTCATTATTCATAGTGGTTGTGTTCTCTAAAGTAACCACAAACACTGACTCAGCAAATACTGAACTATGCTCCCAGGGGGAATACAGGGTTAGGTTCCTGGAAACCTCTGGTCACACATTTTTATCAACTGATCGATACAGAACGTTGAACCTTGTTTTATGTGTGTTTCTGTTTAAAGACACCTAATTTAGTATACATTGCTGCTGCATTAACATTGAACTCACGGCCCACAGTACTATAACTCATTCTTCAATGAAGCTTATCTGACACGTGGGCTTTTTCCATAGGACACATAGAGCCTTCTTGACCTTAGGAACACTAGCACTTCAACACTGTTATGGACTAAATTGTTTCCACCAAAATTTATATGTTGAAGCCCTAATCCCCAACGTGACCGTATTTGGAGATGGAGGAAGAGTAAAGATCAAAATCTCTGTGATCAGGAGGGGTTTAACAACTAGCTGGGTGGTTTTACTGGGAAACCTTGGTTGTCAGTGTCATTAGGTCTTTTTAGATGAGATCTTTCTTTAGCTGATAAATCTTTCCCAATATCCTGCCTGAGAATATCATGGATACTCTGCCTGATTTCTGCAAGCTGGGTGGGGTAAGAGCTCAGTCCCAACATTCAGTAGAGAACTTGTATTTAATCCCTCTGTTTTTAATTGTCTACTGTTTTGTTTTTTTTTCCCTCTGTTCTCTTTGCCTTTGTGGTTTGTGTCTTTTATTTTTGTTAAGTTTAATGTTATTTTTGTTGGGTTTCAGAAGGGAGTAAAGGCTGACGCATGAGTTAAGCTGCTTAACTAGAAACTCCCCTGCCTTACTGTTACCCCTGCCCTGTTCTCTCCCTGAAGACAGCTCCCCGCAATCCAGCTTTTGCTTCCCCAGTCCATGTGGCTGGGCTCTGCGGCACCAGCTCATGTGGGACCTCCGGGACTGCTTGACTGTTTGCTAAAAATCCATGAAATTGATTGCCCCTCCCAACATCTGCTGTAAGCACCTTCCGGATGCCAGCCCTGACCAGTGGGTAGATCTCACACCCTATCAGAGGCAGGCTATCAGAGAGACCCGAACTTCCCCTGCCACCCCTTCCCCTGCTCTGTATTGCTGTGAATAAACCACCTTCTTGTGGTTTTCAACCTCCATCTTGGGGAGTGATGTCCAAATGTGTCATCAGGGTGGCCCTGCTTATGGGGCCAGGGAGGTGTCAGCATGCTGGTGGCTCAATCCAGGATTTGTGGGGCTGCCTCACAGGTCTGTTCTTTGCTTTTAATATATCTGGCATTGGATTTTATCAATTTGTCCCATGTGGCCAGATGTTAGGAAACTAACTCAGGTGACTCAAACTCACAACACACTAAGTCACCTTACAGAGTGCTGATTTATTAATTTAAAATGGGTTGTGTCTCTTTCCAATACTGGACCATTTGTATCCGCTATCCAACGTATTCATTCTCAGGTATCAAGCCAGAAAGAAAGCTCAGAGTTTTCAGATTTCTGCTGTACACCAGGGCATCCCAGTTACATTTACAGACATTATTTCCAGTTAATCCTCACTTTAACCCTGTGAGGTGTTATCCCCATTTTACAGATGAGGAAACCAATGTTCAAAGAGGCTGAGTAAATTATTCAAGCTTTCAAAGCCAGTGAGAGAGAGTCAGAACCTTCTGGCTGCAGTACCTGTGGGCCTCATCCTCCTTTGAACTAGAGGACCACAGAATGAGACACAGAGATGAGATGGTCTCACAAGGTTCATGTCACAGCAGAGTTCAGGGGTCAGGAAGGGCCTCTTTCATGACCCTCAATCTGAGTCCTGAAAGAAGAGTGTGGACGGGTGAAGAGCCAGGTGAGGGGTGTGGGCAGTGGGGTCAGCACGTGCAATGGTCCTGCAGTGGGGAACACATGGGTGAGCTTGAGGAACCGTGTGGCTGCAGCCCAGCCAGCCCAGGCGAGCTCACCCTAGAGACTGCAGAAGGAAGACTGAGATGAAACTGCCAGTCTGCAGCCAAGGTCCCCTTGGAGCTAGGCTGACCCAGTTGCTAGGATCAGACTGCTTTTAGGGAGAGCAGGGAGGATATCAAAAAGACCGGAATTTTCCATCTTCATGTGACACTCTAGGGTGTTCCAGTGTCTCAAATTACCTAAGTATATCTTCCAACCAGGATGAATTCATCGTAGTGGACGTTACCCGTAGAGGATTCTTTAACTGGACTGTGGCCGCTTTTCTTACATGCTGTATTATCTATAAAGTCCTCAGGTTCGACAAGTCACTGGTGATTAATAATTGGAGGACCAGTATTGGACCATCACACCTGTGGTTCCCCACTTGAAAACCCCTCAGAATTGTTATTGTTAAAAATAACAGAGTCTCGGGCCCCAACCTAAGCTACTGAATCATCGATTTTTTTTTTTCTCACAAGCTCAGCAAGGTATTCTGCAGCTGGCCTGACCACTTCTCAGAAAGTCCACACTCCGGGACAGGCTCAGTGGGAGATCACACAACCTCAGCAGGGGTGACTGCAGCACAAATCTTGAGTGAGGCCTGTGTTGTCCGCCTCACGGTGGAGATTCCAGCAGGCCAGGGGGTGTATCTTCCGTATGTAGGTGCCACGGATGTTCACTTCCCTTCTTTTCATCAAGACTGTACTCACCCATTGAGTCAACTGGCCAGTGAAATTTTCAGTAAAGTGGTACGGGCAATGCTGAGAAACGGTCAACGTCCTCAGGACGCTTGTTAACCATGCATTTCATTGCTTCTAAAATGCACTTTTTATTCACATTTTAACACCTCAGGAATGGGGTTGGGCCTAAAATTGATTGTAACTTAGCATTTGTTAACAGTGTGATTGAGAGTGTTTTTTTCTTTCTCGTGGTATGTAAATAATGGTGCCAGTTAAAAATCAATGGTATCTTCAAACTGATGAAACGTAGTTGAAAAATGAATAACATATTTATATAAACAGGTAGTCGGCATGAGCTTCCTCTTGCTGTTCCCTCTACATGGGTAATTCTGCACCTCTGCTTCACCAGTTCTACTCATCTATTACAACTCAGTTCAAATGCCACCTCCTCCAGGAAGCCTTCTGTGTCACCCCAGTCCCATCACTCAATCCAGATTCCAAGTCCTTCCTTTGGGCTCCTGTATTGGCCTCTGACCTATACTTATCACACGGTTACATTTATCCTGTAATTAGTCTACTCCTCCCCCAACTAGACAGTGAGTGCCTTGAGAGCAAAGATGCCATTACACCTCTGTTTTCCTAGTACCTAGCACAGAGCTTGGTATGTAGTAGAAGTTCAATAAATGTTTGTTGAATGAGTAAATGATGAAGGATTGAATAGTTAGAGGCAATACGTGTTCTGTATGATATATAATGCCACAAGATTTCAGGAGAAAAGCACAGCGCGGGTTGGTAAGGCCAGGGAGGGCTTCAGGAAGGGAATGGGATAGGAGCCATTCTGGCAGGATGGCTGATGGAATAGCGCAGGACTGCAATGAGGAAGGAGAAAGGGGGCAGTGCTAAGACCTTCATTTCTCTTCCTAGGTTGATCTTGTGATGACTGTTACTTGACTGGATTTCATGTTTGAATTTCAGGAAGCTATGGGCTTCCATTCATCATTATTCTTAATAATTAACTCTGGGAGCTAAAACAATGGATGTTCAGGTTCAGAGAAAAGAGCAGTTCAACCCTCCGTGAGCTCTCACAGGAAGTCCTGAATGTACATAGACTTTGTGGTTTAGACCTCAGAGCTTCCTGCCTGAGCCTGACAAGGTTTAGCAAGTCTAAGAAGCTGGGAGAAGGTGGGTGGATGGGACCACAAACAACATGGTACCAACATTTCAAAGCAGGTGCCTTCTCACCACCTATTGTTTTAGAACCTTAACTGTAAACTGTTTTTTTTTTTTTCTCCCACTTCCCTCAAAGTACAGCTAGCATGACTGTTAGCTGGGGGTGGGGCCTGAACTTTTAATAATGGTCCCTTAAGACTTGGGATTTGCTTCAGCCAAGTTGTCTCTTAGCCTGCCCTTTTACATGTTGTCTGCTAGGCTCATGGCACCTTCAGTATTCATGGATTCCCCTCTTTCCAAGGATGGTTCTACAGATCGTGGTGACCATGCCTGAAGAGTCAAGGAAGTGAAACCCAAAATGAGGTTATGTTTTCTGGTGTCTCTTGTTGAAGTGTGTGCACAGAGATTTCAATTCATTGTATAAATCTACCAATAGGCTGTGGGTCCAGCTTTGCAGCTGAGACCTGGGGAGTGGATTCTGGTTGTTCTGGTGGGGATTAAGGTGGCCCAGTTGAAGTGGGATGGCCAAATTTGGTCCTGCCGTCACACCCCACCCACTAGCCTCTTTCTCATTCAGCAGCTCGATGCTGGGCTCCTTTCTAGAGCGAGCAGTTGCTGGGGTCAAATCAAGGCATTTGTTTCACTTGTACTCGCGATATGGTGAGCAAGTGTCCACCTAAGAAAACCAAGGGTCTCTCAAGCAGGAAGCTGCTTGTAGCGAGACATGGCCACAGCGACTGCTTGACATCTGACACCGGCACGTGCTCTGAGAGGGAGGGTACGAGAGCTCTAGGATTTGGCGCTCCATCACCCATCATCCTAATGTGTGCACTTTTATTGTTTTTCCCTTCCTGCTGAGGTGGAGATCTGTGAGGAGGCCAGAGACTCCAGACGTCAGACCACATGGCTGAGTTGGAAGGTACAGACATGGCTGTGGCTCCTGGGCTGGGGAGGAGATCATGGTCTGCTTGTAGAGCACACTTGATGGAAGTGTGGGCATGCACACCTGGAGTGGAGAAATTCCACAGTGCCTTTTATGGGAAAGGACGGTTTTTAATCTCTTTTAATTAGAGGAAGAGGACAGCTGCGTCAGGAGACAGTTATGAGTTTTCTTCGACCTCACAGGGAGGTTTCGTTTGAACTCGAGGCTTGGGGAGGGGAGGGCCTTTTTGCAGGTGAACTTGTTTGCCCAGGGTAGGAGGAGGCCTCTTCTTCTGCTGGTGCTGGACACGGGGGCCAGGAGGCCTGGGACGATGAGCGGGTGCTTGGGAACGATGACCAGGTATTGGAGGAGTTTGGGACATGGCTGGATTTTGAGGAGTTGAGCCTGGAATTTGGTGGGGCTTCCAGCCCCTTTCCTCAGGGGTCACTCTCTTCCCTCTTATCTCCATCTCTTCATCTGCAACAATAAAAACCTCTGAAGAGTTTTTCTTGGTAAGATACAATCAAGATCAATATAACTATTTATTGAGTGCCCCTCCTGTGTACAAGATGTCACGCTAGCTGCTCTGGGGGATACGATGAGGAAGCAGAAGCCACCTCTACCCTCTAGAGATTCCAGGCTTTGGGGGGTAGGGGAGACAGAAATGCCCCCCAGAAAAATAGAGGGAGAGCCCAGGGCTTTAGAGACCAGTGGGGGATGGTTTTGTGCCTGGGTCTCCAGGGAGCAGAGAGGGCACTCAGACCCCAGCCCTGCCTCTGAGTCATCCCAGGGATCATGCCCTAGAGCACCTCAGGGTTACAGCCCTTGTAATAGGATCTGAGTAGCCAGAGAGGACATTAGTCACTCCCTGCCTTTGGATGGGTCTCTCCGTTAGATCTGCCTTCCACCCAGTTCTGCTGTAATTCACCCACACTGCTTTGAGTGGCCTGGACGCTCCTTGAGCCAGCTCCTCGCTTATGAGCATAACTTTTTCATTCTAGGTGAGTTGTCAGACTGGCCTGATTCTAGGAAGAAACACTCACAGCCCTAACCCCTCCCCTTGGAACAGTGAATTGGAAAGGGGATATAAACATCCAGTTTTAGAACAAGTGTGTTCCTGTGAGCCCCTGATGTCCTGAAATTTTACCTGTATTCCTAGGAGCTTGGTCTTGAACCCACCTTGGCCACACCCTCAGGAGAAGACAAGGTGTTTCTTCACGGAAATTGTGTTTCGAAGCTTATCTTTCTACCCACACAGATATATGTGGCTCATTCAACATATGTCCACACAGCTTTATACCCAGTCAGCCTCAGGTGGTGGATTCCAATGAGGCCAGCCTGGATGGAGCTTCTCAAAGCTCCCACATTGTTACCACTGAGAATTTGTTTTTCAAAAATCAAGCTAACCACAAAATGGAACAAACTGTAACTGTCGGTTACAGCCCCGACATTCTGAAACTACCCATCTCCATTATTTTCTTTCCAGACTCTAAGTGCCAGACCCATGAGTTGTTTCCACGGGGATTTCACCCAGGCCTGTGGTGGGACAGAAGAGAGGGAGCTTACCATTTCTCCTACTCCTCTGTTTTTTCCTCTTGCTAATGTAGAAAACGAGTAGTGCCACGAAGACAAGGAAGACGGTGCCTCCTCCGCAAACGCCAATGATGAGATAGATATCCAGACCTTTCTCTGCAAGAGGAACAGACGTGGGATGGATGGGAGCATCCTGGGAAGAGGGGCCATTTCGTTGCTCTGGCCAAGGACTCGAGGACTCCTGCCTCCTATCGTTCAGATAAAAGAGCTTGGTGGGACTTTTCAACCTCAGGGAAGCCAAGCTCATGGAGGCTGTGAACTGGGTCAATACCTGAGCGGGTGCAGGGTCCAGGATAAGCCCTCTCAGAACGTTCCTTGGAGAACTGCTCTCCTGAACCACAAATGCCTGATTCTTCACGTACCAAGCACTGTCCCCTATCAAGGAGAATGTCACAGAAGTTTAGATCTGAGAAAGAGTTTAGAGAAAATCTAGGGTAATCTCTAGTTTCACAGACAAGGCCCAGAGAGGGAGGATGAGTTGCCTGAGGCCACACAGTATCCATTCCTGAGTGGTTCCTTTAAGCAGCCCTCGTCTCCATGTTTCTGCACTGTTTTTCTAGCTTCATCTCCGGCTGCCCTCCCACGTCATGATTTTTTTCTCACCCTCTTGACCAGAAAGTTTCTAAAGACAGGATACATGTTTCACGTGTCCAACCCAGTTCTCTGACCTCAGAGGCAGCACCTCATCCCAGATTTTCCCTGGCCTGTGAGAGAAACTCAGACACACAGTGAGTTAGCAGCAGCAGTGGACTTGATCTTCAGCTCACAGACCTTCAGCTGCTGTCATGCAATGAGGATAACAACGACTGTGTTAAGAGAAATGGGTTTGAGAGCAGGCTCTTCTAGGCAAGAGCTGTGTGACCTTTGGCAAGTTACTCCACCTCTCTGAGCCTGTTCCTGTCTTTAAAAAATGGAGATAAGGAACTTATATCACAGGTGGCTGCTGGAAGTCAATCAGATAATGGATGTGAAAGTGCTTTGTAAACTGTAAAACTACACACAAAGATCAGGGTCTGCTCTGACTACAGTTCCGTGCACCAGTGCTTCTGGGAGCTATTTCCCAGGAGGCATGCTGGGCCATCTGCCCTTTTGTGAGTCAACAGCAGTCACAGAGGCAGCAGCTGGGGCCAGGGCTCAGGGGACTCGTACATCTGGAAAACAAATGGAGTTCTCCCCAACATCACAAGGAAACCCTTCTCTAGCCAAACATTCCTAGGAAGATACTGTTGTTCATGAAGCCCAGGATGGGTCCCAGGAGCAAGTCAGAGGCTCAGAAATGAAACTAAACAGGTTTCCAGACTGCGGTGGGTTGTTAATCCTTGCTTTCTTTCCTAAGTCTCCCTCTGACCCATTCTTTGCCTGCCGGTTACACGGCCTCTCTATGCTCTGTGGATGAAGCGGCTTCCACTGGAAAAGCAGGCATAATCCTAACCTGCTGTGAAACTGGACCGGGAAAGTCAGGGGGGTCCGTTAGGCTCTGCCTGCTTGGAGGAAGGGCCAGGGCTATCGGAGTCCACCTTGGGCTGAGCCAAGGACTTCCCAGGGTCTGACCTGGGTGTGGGGGGGCATGGGCCTAGGACCAGTTGGGGAGCAGGGACTAAACCATGCAGCCACTAGCTTGTCTTCTCAGAGTCCTCAGGCAGGGCAAGCACGCCCCTATCTGGGCACACTTGGGAATGTTGGACCGCCTTACACAGTCTGTTCACAGATTCGTCCAGCACAGCCTCTGGGGGCTTTCTGCGGGGAATGCTCCAGTGTGTCTCAGAGGCAGCTGTGGCTCTGTCATTGAAAGCTATGTCCTCACAGTCACTAAATCCAGCCACACTCCTTCCTGCACTCCCTCTTGGAGATAATGTGCCCACGAGTTTATGTGGTGGAGTCCTTCTTGTGTGTCCAAACCTGCTCCTTCCTCCTACTATTTCGGTTTTAAGTACATGCTCATCTTTTCTGAGCCAAGTGGTTAATCTTGTCATTGCTCCACTCTGCCTTGGCCTTTTAGGATGAAACATCCAGGTCCATTTTAGGGTCTTCAAGAGCAGCCCTGTCCTCCCCAGTCTCCCCCTAGGTATTCCTTCCATCTCTCTAGTGGCCCCTTCCCAGACTGGCTCCCACTCTGTACCACAGAGTAAGGGACAGGAATGCTCCAGTCTTCAAACCTCATCTTCCCCCAAAGCCCTTCTTCCCTCGCTCCATCCTTCATGCACACACATTTTTATACTGGTGGGATCTAGTTAAAATAAGCGTGGAGTAGGGCTGCCAGATAAAACACCGGATGCCCAGTTAAATTTGAAATAAACAACGAATAGTTTTTAGGATAAGTATGTCCCACGCAACACTTGGAACACATTTATACTGTCTCTTTTTATTTGCTAAATCTGGCAACTCTAATCAAGAGCCTCCTAAAAGGGGATTAAGAGCTTGTGAAGTCGAGGAGGGGCGACTTCCCTCACTGTGCCTTAGTGATGGGGGGCACGGAGGGACGGCTGGTGGGCAGACATAGACTTCATAGGAGGTGAAGGGACGCTGGTCTGAGCATGTGACTGGCAGACTCTAGCATGGTCCCCGCTGAGCCCTGCCTCCTGGTATTCCCACTGGTGTGAGACCCTTTCTGATTAAATGTGGGCTGGACTTACTGACAGGCTCCTAATGAATAGAATACCGCAGCAGTGATGGGCCGTCTATCACTCCTGAGATCAAGTACAAAAAGTCCATGGCTTGGCCTCCCCTGGTGGCGCAGTGGTTGAGAGTCTGCCTGCCGATGCAGGGGACACGGGTTCGTGCCCTGGTCCGGGAAGATCCCACATGCCGCGGAGCGGCTGGGCCCGTGAGCCATGGCCGCTGGGCCTGCGCGTCCGGAGCCTGTGCGTCCGGAGCCTGTGCTCCGCAACGGGAGAGGCCACAACAGTGAGAGGCCCGCGTACCGCAAAAAAAAAAATGGTTGCTCTGTGGGAAGTAGCTGCCATATTGTAAGGCAGCCCAATGCCGCCCCTGTGAGTGAACTTGGACATGGATGCTCCCCCAGTAGTGCTTGCACCCGACTGACATGACTGCAGCCCCTGCCTGTGTCTTTTTTTTTTTTTTTTTTTTTTTTGCGGTGCTTGGGCCTCTCACTGTTGTGGCCTCTCCCGTGGCGGAGCACAGGCTCCGGATGCGCAGGCCCAGCGGCCATGGCTCACGGGCCCAGCCGCTCCGCGGCACGTGGTATCCTCCAGGACCAGGGCACGAACCCGTGTCCCCTGCATCGGCAGGAGGACTCTCAACCACTGCGCCACCAGGGAAAGCCCCTGCCTGTGTCTTGATTACAGCTTCATGAAAGACTCTGAGCCAGAAACATCCAGTTAAGTCACTCCCAGATTCGTGTCCCACAGGAGCTGTGAGATAATAACTGCTTGTGTTTTAGCCACTAAATGTGGGGTTGTTTGTTACACAGCAACTGATAAATAATTCAAAATGTATGTTAAAAAGTCTCACTTCTGACTTCACGCCAGCTCAGGGCTGCTTCCTAGCGTCACTGACCAGCCATACTCACTATAGAAACTCAGGGCCTCTGGCCAAACAACGATCTTTTGTGCTCAGTTTCCTGTCAGGGGGTTGACTAGACAGCAGTGGAGGCATAATCCCAGAGTATCAGATGAGTAGACTCTTGGGGATCACAGGGCTCATCTTCTTTGTGGACCAGGAGGCTGAAGCCCAGAAAGGGGAAGGAACTCTGTGCAGGTCGTCCCTATATATTTGGACAGACCCAAACTAGAAGTCAAGAGTCCTGGCTCCCAGAGCAGGCCACCTTTCAAAAATTACTTCTAGGGCTTCCCTGGTGGTGCAATGGTTGAGAGTCCGCCTGCCGATGCAGGGGACACGTGTTTGTGCCCCAGTCCGGGAAGATCCCACACGCCGCGGAGCGGATGGGCCTGTGAGCCATGGCCGCTGGGCCTGCGCGTCCGGAGCCTGTGCTCTGCAACGGGAGAGGCCACAACAGTGAGAGGCCCGCGTGCCGCAAAAAAAAAAAAAAAAATTACTTCTAGGGGCTTCCCTGGTGGCGCAGTGGTTAAGAATCCACCTGCCAATGCAGGGGACACAAGTTCGATCCCTGGTCCGGGAAGATCCCACGTGCCGCGGAGCAACTGGGCCCATGCACCACAACTACTGAGCCTGTGCTCTAGAGCCCGCGAGCCACAACTGCTGAAGCCCTCGCATCTAGAACCCATGCTCCACAACAAGAGAAGCCACTGCAATGAGAAGCCCACGCACCACAACAAAGAGTAGCCCCTGCTCGCCGCAACTAGAGAAAGCCCACACACGGCAGCGAAGACCCAACACAGCCAAAAATAAATAAATTTATTTTAAAAAACTTACTTCTAGGGGTCACATGAGGCTGGTGGTCCAGGGAAGAACTTAGACTCTTGAAGTTTCAGAACTTTCTGGTGCTGGGCTGTCTGCTCTGAGGCAGTAAGAGCATTGCCCACCTGTGTTCATGGTCCTCCCTGGCCTCGAGCTCTTCTTTCCCCCAAGCCTCTAACTCCCAGGGTTTCTACAGCCCTTCTGTAACTGCCCCTGATAGGAGGTGCCAGCCATCTCCCCTCCAGAAAGGAATCTTTTTGCTCCCTTCTCCATTATTGCCCTAGGAGCCACAATCATGGTCACTGACTAGCTGAGGGATCGTGGGCCAGTCAGCTTGCCTCTCTGGGAAGTGGCGGTCTGTGTGAGATCACCGTTACAGCTCCTTTTATCTCTTCAACTCAGCAATTCTTTCTCCTAGCAGAGAATCTTTTTCATTGCCTGAGGTTATACCATGCTCTCTGAGAAGATTCCCAAGATGGGCAACCATAGAGCACTACCTCATCTCTCCTCTAGGACTTCCCTTGAAGATTTCCGGGGAAATGGGGTATGTTTTCAGTCCTCACCCTGAGCCGAGGATGCCTCCCAGCCCAAACACCCAGGCCCTGGAGCGGTCCTCTGCTGTGGGCCTCAAAGGCTGTGGTTGTGAAGTGAACTTGGGGTGTCTGACCAGTGCCCACCACGCACCTGAACAGCTGATGGTCACCGTGCTCGTTTGGGCACCGACATTGTTACTCGCCACGCAGTTGAATGATGCAGTCCATTTGCTGTTCCACTTGTGTGTGATGGCCTTCTGATGACTTTCTTTGATACGGGTCTCATTTAAAAACAGTTTTAATTTAGGGTCACTTCCTTTTGCTACCTCGCAGATCAGGGTTCTGTTGGTACAACTCCAGGAAATTACAGGTTTTGAGACCATCTCTGAAAAGGAAAGAAAGATTCAATTCATATTAGGCCATTTACTGATTGTAAAAGACATACCTATTTATAGAGGGGAAATTGAGTTAGGTTGGGACCAGAAAAAATTTCAAAGACCCCTAGCAATTTTCAAAAATCATTTCTATTTCATTTTATTTATACAGCACGTTCACAACAAATTTATTTCTGATATTTACAGATACGTTATATCAGTAAAAAATACATCATATCACAGGCTTATGTGCTGTTTTATACCTTAAAATGTTTTCGTATATAGGATATCATTTCATCCTAACAGAGAGGCGCATGTTTCTCTTCTTGTTTACAGATGAAGTGCCCAAGGCTCTGAGAGGTTAAATGGACAGTCCAAGGGCACCCACTAATAAATGGCAAATCAGGAGAGGAGCTCACCCTTCCAAATCCAAGTTCAGTAGTATGGGTAAGAGGTTTACCACACCCTGATCCCCATATGCTCAGGAGCCTGTGAGGGATAGCGGGGTGGGGGCAATGCTTTAAGAGCAGCTGGGAACTTGTCCCTAGAGGACTGGTACATGTGTAGCCCGGGGCCTTGGTCACAAATGAAGCAGCAGGTCCTGGGAGCAGGGGGTCAGGTGTGCAGTTCAAGCTCTGGAGGGAGAGAACGCCTTCAGCGTCCCAGAGCTGCTGGACCTCACCACTGGACCTCACTGGACCTCATCCACAAGAGAAGGATAAGAAAGACATTCCCCACCTGTCACAGCAGGGGTGACATGTGACAAAGCCCCGGCACACTGACAGGTACTGACAATATTGGTGGTAGTTGTTGTAAAATCATAGTCATACATGCCCTGCCTCTCCTTTTCTGACATGATAGCATTCGAAGGCTGCGTCATGAAAGAAGAAGCCCTGGCCTTGGCTTCGGTTGGGCCGGGTCCCAATCCTACTCCACCACTTGCGAGCTGTGTGACCAACTCCTGCCCTTTTTCTCATCCTTCCCTCTCTTTCCTCAGACTTGCCACTTTCCTTTCTCGGCATCCTTCCATTCATTATGCAGATGGATAGCTTTTTTTTTGTTTTTTTTTTTTCTGATTTCCTCCCTCCCAGACAATAATATCTTCCCCATGAACTTTCTCACCAAATTTCATTTCTGTCCCAAAATACAGGCAGGCAGAAATTAAGGGTTTTTTTTTTCCCCATCCAGGGATTCAGTGTGACCCAGAATGAAGAGGATGGAAAAACATCACCATATACAACAAGACAGGGTCAGTGCATACTCTAGGGGTTGAGTCAAGGAGTTTGCTTGTGTTTTCAAAATGGAAATACTCTTTTTTAATTTATAACAGTAAATCACATCACTGTAAAAATTGATAAAATACCAAAAAAGTTTCAAGAAGATTAAAAACCACTTGCAATTCTACTACCCAGAGTCAATAATTATTAATGTTTCGATGCATCCCTTTAACAAATGTTTTCTATGCCATGCATACCACATATAAATAGTGTTCTAAAAACTAAAACTGGATCATAGATTTTTTTAGTCTGCCTGTTTTCCTTTAATGATCTATTATGAAATTCTTTTAGGAACACCAATAAATATACACTTTCATCATCTTTTTAAATGATCTATTCTTGATTTAATTAATAAGTTCCTAACTGCTGGGGACTTTAAGATCCTTTCCAGTATTTCACTGATATGAACCACCCAGAGATGAGCAGCCACTCGAAGTCATATCTTTACATACATCCTCTCTGTAAGATACTTTCATACAAGAGGCATGGTTGGATCCTGTGGGGCACGTCTCACAGATGTGGCTCTTTGATTCCAGGATGCTAGGACAAACTCCTTCTCCACTAACAGCTGCTTTTAAGGGGCCTTCCACTGGTTCCTCAGCTGGCGGCGGCAGCCCCCTCCTTAAGGAGCTGTGGGTACCAAGGTTGGAGACTGAGAAGCATGGAGGAACTAAGAGATGGGGAGAGCACGAGCACTGAGGAATCAGGTATAGTGTTCCAGGTGTCCAAGGCACCTATGCTTAGTTGTCTCCCTGAAGCCTTGTCCCACTGAATAGCCGATAGCTATTATTATGAAAATCAGACTCAGAGCAGACAGAGAATTTGCCCAGGATCATGTGGCAGGAAATGGTGACTGGACCCACAAATTGACACGCTGTGTGACATTCACACACACACACATACACACACACACACACACACACACAAACACAATGAGATGGCTGCTGTGTCATGGAAAGATCTGTGTCTTTTGGCAAAGGAGTGAAGGTTTATTTTTGAGGTCATGAAAGCATTCTAAAATTGATTGCGGTAATGGTTGTACAACTCTGTAAATATACTACAAGCCATGGAATCATGGCTGAATTTTATAGTATGTGAATTATACCACAATAAAGCTGTTTGGGGTGGTGGGTGGGGGAATGTCACCATCCTTGCTAAAACTAGCCTTGGGTTTGGATCCTGACTTCGCTCCTGTCAAGCCACTTCTGTTTCCTTATAGATAGTAAGGGGATAATAACAGCTACCTCTCAGGATTATTGGGAACCTTAAATAAGATCATGTAGCAGAGCACATGACATCTCACTGGTAACCATTATTACCACTGCAGTACTAAAGGAAACATGAATGTGAAGCTCAAGTTCAAAACAGGACACTCAAGCCCATGCTGGCGGAGTCACGACATCTGTGGTTCCCAGAGCCCACAAGCAGAAGTCCCTTCTGGCTCCATTCTGTCTCGCCCCATTTCTGGAATGTACTCTCCGTCCTGGTGCAGGTCTAGGTATGGAAAGTTGTCATTTGCAGAGGAGCTGACAATGTCTGTGACTGTTGGAGGGGGGCTGCTACCAGTTCCGAGCGCTCAAGAACAGGGCTGGATGGTGACTCTAGGTAGGAGGAGGGGGCCCGTCCTTTGGCAGCGTTTCCTGTGCAAAGCACAGAAATGCTTATTTGTTCACTGAATCTCTGGCTGTGCTCATGCTGGGGTTCCTGTCTTCCTCTCCAAGCTAAGTACAGCTTCCTCTTCTCACTTTTATCCACACCCAGCCAAGTGACCCCTGGACTTATGACTTCATTGTCACTTCCGTTCTATTGTACTTTCTCTTCCCTCTCTCCCAAACTCAAGCCACTTTGTTCATCCTTCCTCCACACATGACCCCCAATGTAATCGTTCTTTAGGCATTTTATAGGCACCCTTTAGTCTAGGCCACTAGTTATCAGCTTTGGCTGCTCATTAAAATTACCTGGGGAATTTAGCACCTACGATGCCCAGGCCCTGCACCAAGAAACTCTGATTAAATTGGTCTGGGATGGGACTCAGCACTGGTAACTTTAATAGCACCTCAGCTGATTCCAATGCGAAACCTGAATTGAGTGTCACCGACCAGCCCCTCCCTACTTCACTTGGATTAAAGCAGCAGCTCCCTAGCTAGGCTTCAAGCTTCCATCTTCAGTAGCTACTACTGCCCTCCCAGTACACACATAGACATACAAAGCCACACCTTGTGTATTTTCTACAGATATCAGCAAAATCATCTTCCACCTTTGATCATGCCGCTGTTGAGCTGATTAGAAACAAGGGCTGTTCCTCCTCAAATTCATCATTTCCAGCCCTTTTCTGCCTTACAATTACTCCTTCAGGACATCCTGGCTTGAAATTGTCTCTCTGGATGGAAGACCCACTGCCCTCCAGTCAGCCTCCCCTTCCCAGTCTCATACCTAGCTTGCCCTTCAGCATCCACCTGGAACGGCCACCTTTTTCTTCTGCCCACCTGTTCCCCTCTTCTTGATTAACGCAGGATCTTAATCCAGATCCTTCACTCAACCCTGCATCCCCACAGCCTCTGAAGAGAGAGTTTGAGGTATGTAGACTTGAGGGTCTATTAGCTGTGGATTCCATCTCTCTCACAGGACTGGAGTCTGCAGCGAGGTAGGAGAGATGCATTCGTTTTCCTTTAGGGCTCCCCCAAGGCCAAGGTCAGGGCTGGGGACATTTCATAAATGCTATTCCTCAACTTGCTAAACAGCACCCATACTGAGATGGAGGAATTTAGGGGACAGAGACTTACCTTGAATCTTCAAATCAAATGCTTTCTCCAATATGTTTTTTCCATTCAAATCATATACAGATACTGTGTAGACGTCGCTATCATTTCTCTTCAGAGCTTTAATTTTCAGAGTTCCATTTTTTAACATCACATACGTGTCCGTTATCTGGTAAGGTGGCTTGTCTTGTTTTAATTGTGCAATCTTGATTTTGTTTTTGTCCCATCGTGTATCTGCTACCCTATCATTCATTTGAAAACCAGGAATGTCCAGGTTGATGTCATGATCCAGGCAACCCCAGATGACTTCAGTATTTTCAGAGACCTCACCTACAAAAAGCAAGAAAGTTACTGAGGTAGCTCACTGCCAAGGAAAGCTGGGCTGTGACCTCTCTGACTCTTGCACTCACTTCAGGGTTGCCAAAGAAGCTTCTAATGGTGACAGTGGAGACCCACGCACCAACTTACCTTTGGTGGAAACAGCGAAAATCAGAAGGAAGCTGGTTAAGATTTTACACGTGAGGCTCATCTTTGGGGTTAGTTTCCTTCTTGTGATTCTGAGCTCTTCTTTAAAAAGGAACTGAAATAACACCAGTGGAATCCACCCCCTGAGAGCTTAACCACGTGCCTCTCCTTTTTGCTTCTTTACAGTGACATAGAAAACAGACACACACACGCGCGCGCGCGCACACGCATACAAAACCTGGCTGATGTGCTCCTTTGCCAAAGCAGGTATATTTATGAGTGTGTGTCTTCTTATAACATTTTAATCCTCACAACAACCTTGGGTGGGTTTTATTATTCCCGTCGAAGAGAAAAGGAACTAAGAGGCTAAATAAATCACTCAGGATCCCCCTTTCGTTAACAAGGAGCCAAATTCAACCGTACGGCCCATCTTCTACCCGTTCAGCTGTAATGTCCCTAACAGGACCACATAGAAATATAGGTAAATGTTTGTAAGCGAATAGCTAGCAGAATACAATCATTTATTCCATGATTACAAATACTGGAAAATGTATACATACTAAACAATTATGAAAGTGGATTTTTTCTCTTTCTCAAAAGGCATTTTAAATGTTCTAAGTGTTTATGTGATAAAAAGAAACAAATACAAATTGAGTCTCAGCTGTAAATGCTTGAAATCCCCAAATCTTATGTTTAGCATACATTTTATAACTATATTGAAATTCACAGATAGGTAAATAAAAAATTGTTCCAAAACAAACAAAAATGCATTGAGACTATGAAATGCTATTAAACAATCAGAACAAATCATCCAAGAAACATTTAAGATGGTTAACACTGTAGATGGTTAAGGAAAGGAAGAGATAAGGAGAAAAAAGAGAAGTGCTAGAGGACAGGAGAAAGACAGAGGAGAGAAACGTGTGAGACAGGGAGAGAAACAGAGATGCACTGATGGACAGAACCAGAAAAAGAGGCACAGAAAGACCCAGCTATAGAGAGAGGAGCACCCAGTTACAGATTTCCAATGTAAAATTCTAGCCTTATGATTCTTTAGGATAGAGTGAGCAAAAATCTTAAAAATTGTGCTTGTTTTCTGTTTCAACTTTAGGTGCAACTATGGATGTCCTGTCTCAGAAAGTTGCCCAGGAAATGAACGTAAGTCAAAACAATGGATCTCAACCACTGGGCAAAAGGAAGCCTGAATAGCATATTTACCTCACGATTGTGTGGCAAATCCCTAATTCACATCATCCACAAAAATAGAACGCAGTTGGATTACATTTTTAAATGTTAAAAGTATAACACAGTGCTACAAAAAAACAGTATAGAAGGATATTTTCATGCCTTTGAGTATGGAAGGCCTACCTACCTATACTATAGGTTCCAAAAGTATTAATAAAGAAAAGATGGACACAGCTATGTAAAAATGTAATACTGAAGTATAGGCAAAGAGATGATGAACAAAATGAAAAGAATGACAGAAAAATTTGCCATATATATGAAAAATTATTAATATCCAAAGTATATAAATTATTCCTATCAATCAAAAAGACAAATGAAATTCAGTTTTTAAAATGAGCAGAGGATATAAATGAGCAGTTTATAGAAGAAAAACTTTATAGAAAATAATGTCAATAAATGTATGAGAAGCCATCTAATGTTACATATATATATATATTATAACCATAAAACACCATTTTCACAATCAGATTGACAAAGTTAGAAAAGATAGTGATTTACATTATTGGCACGAATGTAGGGAGAAACAGGTACCTTCATATAATATTAGAGAGAGTATATAAAGCCATACCTCCCATGGGGTGGAATTTGGAAAATTTCACTAAACTTCAAAAAATATATTTTTTTACCTAGTAATTTTAACCTGAGAAATCTATCCTTCACAAATACTTGCATAAATGTGCAAAAATCCTGTTCAAGGATGTTTGTTATAGTGTTTTTCTGTAATAAAAATTTTCAAACAACTAAAATTATGGTATATTCATACTATGAAATATTGAATAACAGTTAAAATAGAATGAAGTAGCCCTAAAAGTAAGAATATATTATATTATATCATTATTATATTATATTATATTATATCACATGTAATAGTGTATGCATAGGAAAAAGTCTGTAAGGACTCATGCCAAACTTTTAACAGTGTTTCCCCTCTCAGGACCAAAATTTGGAAGCGGAAGAAAGGAAACTTTTACTTTTTACTTTATCAACTTCTGTGAAGTTAGAAATTTTGATAATGAATACATTAATTTTGTAATAAAAAGTTTTTTTGATAGAGGGTGCTTAAGACACATGTTTTCTCAAAAGTATATACAAATCCTGAGAAGCAATTATTATCTAGCTTCCTTGCTTGTAAGTGGCTAACTCACTGGCCAGCTGCCAACTCCAGCCTCTGAAGGTCTGGTCCAGACGATGTGTGGTGACCGCCATGGTGTTACCTGTTTCAGCTTTCCTGATAGTTTTCCTAAGCTCTCATGGAGCAAGTGGAGAGCAGCTTTCTGTTCTTTCTAAAACGTTAATCCTGCTCCTCTCACATCTTTCTTAATTCTGAATGACGAATGAGCTGGACTTCAAGGGCAGAAACTGAAAAAGAAAGGGATCGATAAATCTACGTAAAATTTTAAAATTTTGTACATAAAAAGCCCTAAAAACCATTAAAAGACAAAGTACTAAAGGGGGCAAATTATTTGCAAGATATATAACAAAGTTTAATATCCTTAAAATTGAATTTTTTATGTAAATGTAGGAAGAAAATGTAGAAAAAACACCTTGATATTAAATTTGGTTAAGGTTGTCAAAGGGACAATTCACAAAAAAAGAAATACAACTGAATAAGCCTATGAAAATTAGTCAATTTATTAATAAAGCAATGTAAATTTTAACATAGATGCATTTTTCATCTTTTTTAAAAAAAGATAAACTATACAGTGTTAATGATGGTAAAAACAGACATTCTTGAATATGGACAGTAGAAATGCAAACAGGTGTAGTTTCTGGTGGACAGTTTGTCAGTGTGAATCAGAAGCATCAAGAATATTCATATTTTGACCTAGCAAGTCCACAAGAATGATTTTATCTTAAGGAAATAATGAAAGACTTACAAGACTTGGCTGAAAGTTTATATCCTGTAGCATTTTTTCTAAGTCAAAATTGCAGGTGATTTAAATATTTGAAAGGAGGAAATTTGTTAAACAAATCATGATATGGACAAAAACTGAATATGGGAAAAAAAAGGTCACGATAAACAATGTAATCCCATTTTTGTTTCTCAAAAAGTGTGTGCTGGGTGTGTGTCTTTTGGAAGGATGTCCACCAGGGTGTTGGTCTCTGTGCGTGGGATAATGGCTATTGTTCTGTTGTCCTTGTTCGTTGCTGCTATTCTAACATTTCCGAATTGAATATATATTGCTTTTCAATTGATTTCTTTTTAATTCTAAGTGGGCCTCCCACTTAGGTAAAACCTCCCAGTACTGAGGGTGGGTGCAGTTCCTACCCTCCTGCCTGTGAGCTTCCGGGGAAAATCCACCGATGACTCATTCCAAATTTTCCCTCTCCACCCTCACTGCCCTCTAGGGGCTGTCTCTTGTTCTGTCTTCATTGACTCTTCTTACCCAAACTAATACTCCTGGGGAAATAGTCTAAGAGGGAAGGGAGTAAGAAGCAGAGGAGGAGGGGGCGGAAGAAGACGTTTCCAGAGACCTCGCTCTAGGACCAATTCCTATCCCTGACTACTGAAATACCTTTGGTCCTCACTCCTGCCTCCCTCAAGTTGTGTCAAGGTAATGCGCTCAAGAGAGAATCAGGTTGTGTTCACACTGCAGCAGTTCACGCCCAACCAAATGTCCTGAATTGTCAGATTTTAGAGCAGCAGGAAATTCAGGAAGCGATCTGGCCTCCTCTCTGCATTTCAGCTGAGGGTCTTGAGCTCAGGGAGGTTCTGGGGTGTGTCTGTCCGCCTTGTCCAAGTCAGCAGCCTAATGCCCAGCTTCTGGGACACTGTCTGTTACCCACTGAGACCTCAGGGTCATCTTTGCCTCCCACCCCTCGTGTGCTTCCTCAACTTAGGAACCACTATGTCCAGCCTCGCCTTCCCACTTAACATACATCTCCTCTCTTTGGTACCACTGCTTGTGCCCTCGTTATACCTTCCCGCAAGCTCAGGTGAGAAACACGAAAAAGGAGGTAAGCAGGTTGCATTTTATACTAAAAACTGAGTATGCTGTGGCTTCAGTGAGGATCAGAAAGGCCACACTGTGTGTGTGTGTGTGTGTGTGTGTGTGTGTTTGCAGCCTGGTCCCGCTGTTGTTCAGCTTGGCTGTGTATCTGGGTGGTCACATCAGAATCGGCATCAATCCGCAGCGATTTTCACTGCCAGGCAGCGAGTGGGTCTTCTCCCAAAGGCAGCCTCGTGCAGACAGCCGCCGATGCATATTCCACGTAGGGAGACCTCCATCTCTGAGCGCCAAGTCCTCTGCCAGGTGTTATCACCTCTGAGGCAAGAACTGAGTTTTCTTTTCCTTTGGAGTTTCCCACCCACACAGCAGGCAGGAGAGAATCAACCCACAGAGGCAGTTCCTGTGTGAAGTCTGGATACCTGAAATGAGAGTCATTCAGCCTGGAAGTCCCCCACGGGGCGGGGAGGGGGCTGGGGGGGCCGTAAATGCCTCTGAGAGAAGGGATGCACTACGTCTATGTACGTCACTAGTTGTATAATCACGTGATTACAGAGAAAAGAGATTTGTGCCACACAGAGCTGGCCCACGCATACTAGTTATACATACCTAGGCATGCAGTTTCTGCTCGTGAGCCTCAGTTTCCACGTTTGTGAAGGACGACAAAGGCTCCATCCTCAAGCTTATTGTGAGTCAGATGAAGTGATGTGTGTCCAGTGTCTAGGGCAGTGCCTGGCCCCGAGGAGATCCTCGACAAACATCACCTTTCCCGTTTGCCACTATGTTCCTGATAAACGGGTCTACTTAAGAGAATAAGGGGAGGGGACAAAACTGAGAAGCTTTGCCTTCAGAAATTAGCCGGGAAAGCTGGAGGCTCTCAGGGTTTCGGAATACTTTCCAGCAAGAAAGTTGCAGATTAAGACCAACAAGAGCTAGGAAACTAT